GTGACAGCAGAGCCGGATCCAGGTTGCTCTCGCCATGGGTGGGGCTCCTGGTGACGTCCAGGGATGCCTCCTCTCTCCTGATCCCCTTTTCCACGTGCCTCTTTGCCAGAAGCAACCTGCATAGAACACAAAAACCGTGGCACCCTCCAGGTCCTCTCATGTGGCAGAAAGCAACAACGTTCTCCCTAAAAAGTTGAGGGATGCCTAGATGTTTCATAACAAAAGCCCTCCCCCACACCCCATAATAGCTTGTTTATGTGGAAGTGGCTGCAGCCTTGGGGGTCTGGAGCTAGGGTGTGTGTGTGTGTTTGAGGGGACACACGTGATTACATCTCAGACTGTTTGTGGAGAATTTCCCTCTCTGTAGATCCTGTTTGGTTTGTTTTTAATAAGGGTCAGAGGTCTGGGCTTCTGTGGTGAAGGGGGAAGGGTCACCTCGGATGGCCAGACCAGAGGGTCCCAGAGGACAGGTCACGGGGCCTGCGATGCTAGCTGAGGCCAGTAGCCAAAGCTGCTCCATCTGGCCCCGCTCCCGGCAGGCAGGCAGGCGTAGGCAGCCAGGCTCCAGGCTCCAGGCTCCCTAGTGTGGAGCCCCAGAGGGGACCCCCTGGAATGGGAACTGGTCTCCCTGGGTAGGACAGCTGTCATTTCTCAACGCTGGCCAAGAGAGAAAGGAGTTGCTGCTGTCTGGGTCTTTCCACAGTGTGCTCTAATCAGGATGGGCTTATGTGTGCAGCCTTCCAGTTGGCTGTGTGAAATGGAGTCTGTGGGGTGCTTCAGACTCCTGACCAGCCAGCCCACAGTCTGGACCAAGGGCTGTAGGCAATGTAAGAGCACTACTACCCAGGAGACTCCAGCTGTGTGTCTTTCCCTCCTTCCTCATCCTGAGGAGATAGAGGGGAGTGCTTGCCATGAAGCAGAGCCCGGTGTCCAGAGTCACTGCATCCACCATAGAGGTCTTGGGGTCGTGCTTAACTCTCTCTTTGGGGAAGCCATGAAGATGTGGGAAGGTGAGCACTTGACTATAACCCAGAGAAGGCTCCTGTCCTTGAGGCCAAAGCAGAAGTCAGAGCAGCCACTGACTCTCTAGTAGTTGACCCAGACAGTAATCTGAGGTCTGTATGTCCTTTTATGTAATTTGATTCCTGAGACCAATTCCGAGAGGCAGATACCACCATGGTGTCTGTATGTTAGACTGAGGGCTAGAACCCAGAAGAGTGAAGTCTCTTGCCAGGATGAGCCAAAAGGTAGCACAGGCAGGCGTCTGTCACCCCTGCAGGAGACCAGGCATCACGCTGTGTGTGCTACCGTCACATGTCAGCCCCCCCCCCATACACACACTTGCTCATCCCTTCCCATTTTGGTGGCTATATCCAGAGCCTTCCCTTTGTACCGAGTCAGGACACCCATCCCTCCTTTCTGAGGCTAACAGAGAGACTAGTCCTCTTGGTGGTGGCTGCTGGTGGAGTGAGGGGTGATGGGAGGGTGGGACTTCAAGGCTCTGTGAACCACACACAGCTTTGCAGTCTACCCCAGAGCTTGAGACCTGTCTAGCCTCTCCCTTGTCCCTTCCTGCCGTTGATACGGCAGGGTTGGGGGCCCTCACTAGGCAGGCGTGTGGCATCCAGATGGTGTGGTTAACCACGCCGGACCCATAAATCAGCAGTATTGTCCCAGCCTTCCTCCCCTCTTCTGTGCTGTCACCTGGAGGAGGAGCTGGTGTGAGAAGCCCCTCCAGCCCCGCCCACCAGCCCCAGGCTTTGTTCCCAGTCAGTGGCCAGTGTCTGTTTGAATACTGGCCGTCACTGCCGGCCTGTGTGACTTTGACTAAGCTCCATCTCCCTGTTAGCCTCAGTTTCCTCATCCGTAAAATCTGGGCAGTCACAACACCTGCTGTCCCAAGAACAAGATGCAGTCTCATGCGTGGGAGGCCCTGCCAAGCCTGCTTCCTGGCCTTGCAACGCAGTAGATCCTCCCACGATCCGGCTCTCACCCTCTTCTACCTGCCTTTGAGTCAGAGAAGGAAAGCAAGCTGCCCAGTGCCACACAGCCAATTAGCAGAGGAGCAGGGATTACGCTTGGCAAGCCGGAATGACACTAAAGACCTCACCCCGGGTTCCAGCCAGCCAGCCCTCCCCAGCCCCTCTGAGGCCACTCTGCCTGTGTCTGCAGTGACAACGGCATTGTTAGCCTTGCCCAGAGCCACTGTGTAACCCAGGTCTGAAAAGATGCCTTAATAGGTCCTTAATAAAGCTGCAGAGACAGCGGCTTCCCGGGGCAGGGTCCAGGTGCAGCAGATGCGACCTAATGGAAATGTCAGGGATGGGGCAGTGGGGGAGCCACCTGCTCACATCTCAGACTCATCTCCCTGTCCTCATCTGAGTCAGTGGATGCAGGGAACGGTCCCTCCTCCCTCCTCCCATCCACCCCTGCATTCATTCATCCATCCTTCCTCTCACCCCAGTATGTCAACCACACAGTGTCCAGGTTCCCCTCTTCCTGTGAAAAGACATGAGGCTCATAACGGGGCACAGCTGAGGAGAGAGTCAGTGGGGCTGTGAGATCAGCGGCTGCAGCCCCCCCCCAAGGCCCAGGGTGCCTAGCCACACCCTCACCCTTCTGGGCCACCCTCTCCTGATCTGTTTGTCGGGCTGCTGTGATGAAAAGGTACTTTTCATCTTACCTTTACTCTAGGTAAGATAGCAGAATGTCTTTTCCACAGTTCTGGGAGCATGGGAACCCCAAGACCAAGGTGCAGGCATATTTTAGATCTTGTTGGGGCTTGTTCTCCTACATGGAGCCTTCTAGCCATGCTTGAGCGTAATGAGGAGGGAAGCAAGCCCCTGGAATCATCTCTTCCCTCTCTCCTTCCTTCCTTCCTTCCTTCCAGACACGGACTCACCACATAGCCAAGTCTGGCCTTGAACTCACCATCCCGCGCCTCAGCCTCCTAAGATTACAGGGGCGTGTGCACCACTCCTTGGTCCCTCAGGTCTCTTTGTTTTTTATTAGTGCATATTAATTATACAGAGTGATGAGTGTCCTTGTCATCTCTCGCCACTATTATGAGGACTAGTCCGTCTGTGAGCCGAAGCCCTCGTGTCCTAACCCAAAGTCCTCAACCTCAAAGTACAATTTCCTAGTACCACCTTGATTAAGGAATTTTGTTCCCTGTGTGCACGCACGCACGCACCCACACACACACACACACATACGAAACAGAGTACAAATTTCAGGAGATAGGTCTCCTTACACCGTGAGTGGGGATTGAACTCAGGCTGTCAGGTGTGGTGGCAAGCTCCTTAACCTTCTGAGCCCTAATAGCACCTCCTAAAACCCCCATCATAAGTGGATCATGTCCCAACATGTATGACTGCATTCACATCACAGCAGAAGGGGCGGGATGTGGCGTTCCCGCAGTTCTAAAGCTCCATGCAGGATATGCAACCCATTCGGGTCCTAAAGCTCCGATCTAAAACCCACTGAACTGAGGCGGAGCCTGGTCACAAAGGGAACACAGGCAGAGGCATGGAATGACTTGGAAGGGGCTGGCAGAACACTGGACTAGGGGCAGGAACCAGGGCCAGACCTTGGGGTCTATAACCCTAGGGAGAAGTTGTATCCTGAGAGTGTCCATCAGGTTAGATGAGATGCCTTGGGGTACCCATGGCTGTGGGGACACTGCTGTTAGTGATGTCATGAAACTCCATGGCAAGGAAGTAGCTCTGAAGTGACCCCATTCGTAAACACTTAAAATTTTTTCTTTCAGAAAATGGTCAGCAGCAGGTGGTGGCTCATGCCTTTAATCCCAGCACTTGGGAGGCAGAGGCACGCGGATCTCTGTGAGTTCGAGGCCAGCCTGATCTACACAGCAAATACCAGGACAGACAAGGCAGAGAGAAACGAGAGAGAGAGAAAGAGAGAGAGAGAGAGAAGGAAAGAAGGAAAATGGCTAGCAGAGTGATGATGGTACACGCCTTTAATCCCAGCACTTGGGAGGCAAAGGCAGATGGCTCTCTGAATTTAAGACCAACCTGGTCTACAGAGTGAGTTTCCAGGACAGCCAGGGCTGTATAGAGTGACCCTGCCTCGAATAATTGATGAATAAACAAACAAACAAATGCCAGAAAAACAAAAACAAAGCAAAATGGAAGTGTCTGACTTGTACTGGGCCCAGGTGCTAGAACAGTGAAAACCACAGTCTAGATGGGGAGCAGATGGTACTGTTAGTGCCCCACCCACAGCTGGATGAGATTATGTAAAGGATTCTGAGGTTGCATCAAGGTTTAAAGGTGAAGAACTCTGTGATCCATTAGTAATGCCTGCCACAGGCACGTTGAGGGGAGCAAAGGCCAGGATGCTGGTTAGCCATACTGTGAATTGAGAGTAAGAAGGCATTTAGACCGGAGGCCCTGTGGTAGTGGCTGCTTGTTAGAGGACCCTGATCAAGTCTCTGTTCTACTGCCTGCCTCAGTTTGCTTTGAGAAGCAAATATGCTGATGAGGACTCACGGTTACCTGGAGGGTCAGGAGGCAAAGGTCACACTCAGGAGCTCAGGAGCTCAAAATTCCTGCCTTCCTGTTTCCACCAGACCTGTTCTAGTCCATGCCTGGGCCACTGGGTGGTGGAAGGAAGAGGCTGAAGGGCCCTAAACCGTCTCCTCTGTGACACTTGTGAAGGGGTGGGAAATCCAAGAGGAGGGCTTCCCTCCTCTGTAACCCTCCCTCCTCGGCCCATGGGAGGAAGACAGGGGAGGTGGGACAGGGTGGGTGGGGCCGGGGTGTGCAGCACACCCTGAGGTTACCTGGGTCCATAAGGGCTCCTTGGCAAGATGCTGTTCCTGAGGGGAAGAACAGAGAGGTAAGCGGACAGTGCAGGGTCCTGGGAGTGACGGAGGTGGCAGAGATGCCTAGCAAGCCAGGGTCTGTGCTGTGGAGAGCCTGGCAGCAGCCTCAACTCAAACCTGGAACCCAGAAGTGGTGGGCCCAGGCAAACGTGCGTGGAGAGAAGACCATGCAGGAAGAAGGTAGCGCCCTGGAGCCCCGGGCTGCTGTGGAATCCTGAAACTGGAGATGTCTCTGTGATGCTCACAGCCTGTATTCTTTGAGGAAGGGTGAGTGGGGCTGGGCAAATCCACCTGCTTCTCCCTTGCACTCCTTCTCTTCCAGCCAGTCCCATCTGCTGTGTGCGGAGCTACTGGCCTGCCATTAAGTTAGGCTGGAGGCCCATTGCTCTGTGGCCACAGATCTCCATGTCCTGGCCACCTGCCCTTTAGGCCCCTGGTCCAGATTCAGACCCCAGGCAGGATTCTAGGGTTGAGCAGCACCGGAATCAGTGAGCTTGTCTCTCTCATCTGGCGGACTTGGATGGTGAGAGCCCCTAGGAGGGGAGGCAGCCTCCCAAGGCCACAGAAGAAAGCATTCTCTCCTTGACTTTTTGTCTTCCAGAACAGAGGACACAAAGACCTTGACTTTGACCACAGGAAATAAAAACACTTGGGCCTTAAAGCCAGGAGTTTGCCTTAGTTAAGACATGGGCAACGGGCTGTGTGATTTTGGGTGTGTTACTGTCTTAGTTAGGGTTTCTATTGCTGTAGAGAGACCCTAGGACCACGACAACTCTTATAAAGGAAAACATCTCACTGGGGCTGACTTACAGTTTCATAGGTTTCATCCACTAGCGTCATGGCGGGAAGCATGGCAGTTTGCAGGCAGACATGGTACAGGAGAAGGAGCTGAGAGTTCTATATCTTGATCCACAGGCAACAGCAGGAATCTGAGCCAGGCTTGAGCATCTGGGCCCTCAAAGCCCACCCCCCACAGTGACACACTTCCTCCTAAGAGTGCCAGTCCCTATGGGCCAAGCGTTCAAACACTGAAGTCTGTGGGGGCCCTTCCTAGTCAAGCCGCCACAGTTACCTGACCTCTCTGAGTTCCACGATGCTGGTGAAGATGGGGTGAAGGACACTCACGAGGACACAGGTGTCCTGGCACGTCCTTATGTTTCGATGGATTGGAGCTTGTGCTAGGGTAGGGGCTGGTGATGACCTGGACTTTTATGCAAATGTGGTGGCTCCATCCTTTTCTGTTGTTGTTGTTGTTCTGAAAAGATCCTAGAAAAATCATGGCTGCTGATGACCTGGATCCCGCTACACCCTATAGCAACTCCTAAGGGGCAAGCTCAGGGGTAGAGCGAGGTGGCCGGCTTCCCAGCCATGTTTTTCTGGCAGGGGAAATTTATTGGCCTGTGGTGCGGAATAGTGTTTCTCTTAATTAGCAGGAAGTCGACCAATTTCTTAATAAAGGGCTTTGTAGAGGCTCGCAGTTGGGGTTGATAAGGTGGAGGGGAGTAAGCAGGGGCATTAGGCCCTGCAGAGCTCCGCCTTGGCCACAGGTGTTGTGGGAGGAGCCAGCTCTGACCAGCTGTTCTGGTAGTGTTTGTTTGTTTGTTTGTTTGTAATCAGCTTGGCAGAAGTTAGGGTCACCCGGGGAAAGGAAACTCCAGTGAGAAATGTCTCCAGAAGGTGGCCCGGTAGTGGGGTCTGTGGCACATTTTTTTTTAACTGATGATTGACGTTGGTGGATCCAGCCCACTGTGGGTGGTGCCAACCTGGGCAGGAAGGCCTAGGTTGTATAAGACAAGGAGCGGAGCAAGCCAGGAGAAGCAAGCCAGTGACAGCATTCCTACGAGGCCTCTACCTCAGTTCCTGCCTTGACTTCCCTCATGATGGACTGTAGCTGTAAGGTGATAGAAACCCTCTCCTTCCCAGTCATGGTGTTTATCACAGCAATAGAAAGCTAACCAGGGGACCCACAGAGAGCGAAGTGTACCTCTCTGGCCTTTGACCTGTGCCTTTTGGTGTGGTAAGGAAACAGGTTGATCCCGAGGTTGTCTTCCTTTCTTCCACAACACCAGGGCCTGCAGCAGTGCTGATAAACAACCCCATCTTACAGATGTGAAAACGGAGGCCCGGAGAGAGTTGGCACCCTGCCCCCACCTGACTTGCCATAGCCAGGTACCCTTGTGAGTTTGTGGAAATGAAGAAGCAGGTAGGTTACTGAAAGGCGCAACTTCAGGACAGATGGATGGCCTGTGCCACCTGCCCTCTACCGTAGGGCCCCGTGCCTGTGGCCTGACCTTACAGGACTTCAGCTGAGAGGGATCCTGCTTACCAGGAAATGGCTGCTTTCTGATGTCAAGATTTGGGGGTTCATAAGTCACCTCAGGGCTCTCCAGAGACCTATCTACCTCATGCACTGGGTGAAAGGGACCCAGCATTCCCCAGTCCCTGCACCTGCATGCCGCACTTGCTACTGCTGAGAGTCCCCAAGTCTCACAGTCCAGAAGAGCAGGGACACACCTCACCCTTCTCCTGGACATGCCCCCACCCTTCCCATCCCTTTTATAAACTGTTTAAACAGGGCTCTCTTTCTCTGTGCTAGCCGCTGTTCCAGGCACTTTAAAGGTGTTTATCCTCCATAGGAAGGAAGTACCATTATGTGCCCATTATACAAATGAGGAAACTGAGGCACAGAGAAAATGAAGTGATTGTTCAAAGGGTTGTAGGGGGCGTTAAGCAAGCGAATCTGTTTAAAGACACGATCACTCATTAATACACAGAAAAATCTTCACTTTTGTCTCTCTCTAGCTCAGACCCCTACCCTTCAAAATACAACTCATCTCAGAAGCTGTTGCCCTAGTCTGCTTTCCAGGACAGGGTCTCCAGCTGCAGATGTCCTCAGAGTTTTACTTGGCCTTGGCCCTGGTCATGTCCTCCCCAGCTCTTGACCACTGAGAGTCTCGGGCAGGTGGGTGACCCAGTCAGCCCAATGGAGGCACTCTGCCAAGGAGCAGGGCCCATTGGTCTGGGCTCGTTCATTTGTCAGGTGTTTGTGGAGAGCCACTCTGTGTCAGAGCCTGTGAACAAGACAATCCAGGAGTACACACTGTGTGCATTGCCACCAAATAAACCCGTCACTTTAGCTCAGTGACCTTTAGGCTGGCATCCGTCCTGAGGACGGGCAGAACTAGCTGGGCAGTTAGGAGACCCCAGGGAGCAGCCTAAACTGAGGCTGGAGGTGGGGGCCACAGGGAGTGTCCAGGCTATGGGTGAGGCAGGTGAGGCCCAAGGGGTCCTCAGGTCCTCTCGGAGGCGAGCACCCTGCACCAGGATCCAGGGGTGGGCCTGTGTCCTCTCAAGCGACAGACACTAGAAAGGATGAGCAACAGAGGTCTGGTCCCTGCCCCCGGATTCCATTCTGATGGGGGAGAGAAATGGGTGACAGCAGCCGAGTGACCAAGTAAACAAGGTCACTGCCCAGCATAAGGCTAAGGAAGCCATGGGTCTGGGAGGCGGGGGTCAGCAAACAAGGTCACCGCTGAGCACAGGGCTAAGGAAGCCATGGGTCTGGGAGGCGGGGGTCAGCAAACAAGGTCACCGCTGAGCATAGGGCTAAGGAAGCCATGGGTCTGGGAGGCAGGGGACAGGAAACAAGGTCACTGCCCAGCATAGGGCTAAGGAAGCCATGGGTCTGGGAGGCGGGAGTCAGCAAACAAGGTCAATGCTGAGCATAGGGCTAAGGAAGCCATGGGTCTGGGAGGCCAGGGTCAGCAAACAAGGTCACTGCCCAGCATAGGGCTAAGGAAGCCATGGGTCTGGAAGGCGGGGGTCAGTAAACAAGGTCACCGCCGAGCATAGGGCTAAGGAAGCCATGGGTCTGGGAGGCGGGGGTCAGCAAACAAGGTCACCGCTGAGCATAGGGCTAAGGATGCCATGGGTCTGGGAGGCCAGGGTCAGCGCTGAAGCTGCAGCTGGCACGTTTTCCTGAGGGAGCTGGGAGCCACAGATGGCTCTGGAGCAAGGGACTGGTGTGATTGGGTAGAGGTCAGATGACATCTGTACTCTGGGCTGGGGATGGAGGAGGAAGAACCGAAGGCTAGAGGTGGATGGGGTATCTAGGCAGGAGCTGGAGCTTGGTCAGGACTGGTCACCCTGCGGAAACTCTGGGTTTGGAAACTCCCTAAAGAGCAGAGAGCAGAGGGCAGGAGTAGGTGGCTGAGGCTAAGGAGAGAAGTGAGGAGGTGGGGCTGAAGCCCAGGTCACTGAACAGGATGACAACAGGACAGGGTAGCCCTGGACTGCCCCGTGTGGATGCCTTCCTCATAGCGGAAAGCCCAGCGGAAGGGTTAACAGGACAGGACCTGACTCCTGGACCCCACAGAAGGGCTCATTCAGCCTTCTGTTGGGGTGTCCCTGCCTTATTCCAGGACACCAGCAGTGAAGGACGCTCTAGAACCTTGAGAATTTTTCTCAAGGGGATTGGGGTTCAGAGCCTTACTTGGCCAAGAGCAGATTTCCTGGGATGGGGGCCCCTGTGCTCACCCTCTGCTCAGCTGTGGAGACCACTTTTGCCGTGGTCACCCACATCCCTTCCAGAACAGCTCACTCCTGACTCAGTGGAAGCCATGAGTGGGGCAGGAAGGGACCTGCACTCTCCTCCCATTATGATTCTTGCTGGACCCCTTACCCTTTGGTAAGCTGCCCTTCCCCTCAGGGTGGGGCTGAGCTGGGACCCAGAAGGGCTCTGTCACTGTGCCTTGCAGAGAATGGGGGGGGGGGGGTCGGGCACAAGCGAGCAGTGTCTGAAACCTAATTGTGTTCTGTCTAATCCATCAGCAGAGGACAGCTCGCCAAGCCCCTCCCGGCTGGCTGATAAATGCCGTTCCAGGCCCCCTGTGTGCCAGGGTTGCCTTAATTGGTATCAGGACGTGCCTGGACTCCATCGTCCAGGCCATTGCCTTCCCCCTGCCTGCTTATTCCTGCTGCAGTCCCTAGCTAGTCTCTGGCTGCCCACCTCCATCCCTGGGAGCACAGGCCCAAGAGGATTTGGAGCCAGCAGGACCTCACCGTCCAGGGCACTGGTCGGAGCGTTGCCCTCTCCCTCAAGAAGGCAATTCAATGTGCCTGGCCCAGGAAGACAGTGGGCGGATGCAGAGAAGTGTAGACAGGCACGGATGCATTTCCACGGGAACAACATGGAAGGGTAAAAGGGTCATGTGATAAAGTTTTGCTGAGGCTCACACAAGAAAGGAGAGCCAGAACAAGGTGACCCTGGAAACAGCCCAAGACTGGCTGATTGGTCCTCACTGTCCTTCAGGTTATGAGAGCATTCCCACGTGAAGCTCTTCCCAGTGTGTAGGCCACTCCAGATTCTGATAGGAATGGAGAATCAGCAAGGGGCTGAGTAGTGAGCAACTGGGATTAGCACTTTTCACTCATTCATTCATTCATTCATTCCTCCAGGATGTTCTGAGCAGCCAGCTGCCTCTCTTAGAAACCTGACCAGACAGGGAGCAGGATTTTTAGGGTTGTGTGCAAAAGGAAAATTGTCCGACACATTACTGAGGTCATCCAGGTGGCCACTGCACACACTCCCTTCAACACGGGAGCTGGTTCTGCTGGTCAAGGGCCACCAGTCTGTGGCCAGGGTGCCTGGAAGGACAGCAAGTCCAGAGTGATCCTACCCTGAACCCCAACTCTTAGCTGCAACCCTGAAACTAGTCATTGCTCCTTGTTATTTATTTTTTATTGCTTTTAAGACAGTCTGTATATCTTTTTAAGACAGTCTTGTGTACTTTTAAGACAGTCGTGTGTATCTCAAGCTGTCTTCAAACTGAATATGTCGCTGGGAATGACCTTGAACTGATCCTCCTGTCTCTACCTCCAAAGGATTCCAGGTGTGTGCTACTGATGGTTTCCGTGGTGCTGGCGACAGAATACAGGGCCTTATGGATGCTAGACAAGTGCTACATTAACTGAGCGAGGGCCCTAGGTTTCTGTTTTATTTTGGGTTTTTTGTTTGTTTTTGTTTGTTTTTTGTTTTTGTTTTCTTTTATTTTGTCTTTTGAGACAGGGTTTCTCTGTGTAGCTTTGGAACCTGTCCTGGCACTCACTCTGTAGCCCAGGCTGGTCTCAAACTCACAGAGATCCGCCTGTTTTTGCCTCCCGATTGCTGGGATTAAAGGTGTGCACCGCCACCACCCAGCTAGATTTCTGTTTTTTGTTTTTTGTGAACTGCTGCAGTGAAGCACCATGACCAAAAAGCAAGCTGGAGAGGAAGGGGTTTATTTGACTTACACTTCCATATAACAGTTCATCACTGAAGGAAATCAGGACAGGAACTCAAGCAGGGCAGGAACCTGGAGGTAGGAGCTGATGCAGAGGCCATGGAGGGTGCTGCTTACTGGCTTGTTCCTCATGTTTTTCTCAGTCTGCTTATATAACCCAGGACAAACAACCCAGGGATGGCATCGCCTACAATAAGCTAGGTCCTCCCCCATCAACTACTAATTAAGAAAATACCTTAGTTGGGTGATGGTGGCACACATCTTTAATCCCAGCACTTAGGAGACAGAGGTAGGCAACAAATCTCTGTGAGTTCGAGCCAGCCTGGTCTACAGAGTGAGTTCTAAGACAGCCAGAGTTGTTACACAGTGAAACCCTGTCTCGAAAAATCAAAATAGAAAATACCTTACAGGGTTGCTAATGTTGTAGAGGCATTTTCTTAATTTTTTTTCTGGTTTTTGGTTTTTAGAGACAGGGTTTCTCTTTGTAGCCCTGGCTGTCCTGGAACTCACTTTGTAGACGAGGCTAGCCTCAGACTTACGGATATCCAATTGCCTCTGCCTCCTGAAGCCTGGAATTAAAAGCATGTGCCACCACTGCCTGGCTTTAAATTTTTAAATTTTTCTTAATGTTTCCTCTTAGTGTATATGTTTTGCCTGTATTTCTATCTGTGCTTCAGATCCCCCAGAACTGAAATTAGAGGCAATCATGAGTTGCCGCATGAATGCTGGGAATTGGACCCTGATCCTCTGGAAGAGGAGGCAGTGCTCTTATCTGCTCTCAGATGAGTTTAGCTTGTGTCAAGTTGACATAAAACCAGCCAGCAAGTTTGTTTTGAGAAAAGGTGTCTAAAGTAGCTCAGGCTGAATTCAAACTCCCTTTAGATCCCAGCTGGCCTTGAACTCCTGACCCTCCCTGCCTCAGCTTCCTAGCTAGGATGACGGAAGTCCATTCCTCCATCAGGTCTCCCTCTCCCCCTTCCTTCTTTCTCAGATTCTGCTCCCCATCCCAGTGTTGGCGGTCAAACACCGGACTTCACAATCCTGGGTGAGTTTCGCCGGGGAGGGGGGCTGCACTCCAGCCCCTGGAGCCCAGCCTCCAGCGACTTTATAAAAAAGAGAAAAGAAAGTGGCTGTGTGGGTGACAAACAAAACACATGATCGGTGTAAAAACTGAGATCCCAGGGCTACCAAGGTAGCTCAGGCAATAGGGGCACGTATGCCATGTCTGCAGACCTGAGTTCAGTCCTCAAGGCCCACATGAAAGAAGCAGGAAACCAACCCCCAAAAGTTGTTTCTGACCTCCTCTTGTATGCTATGGCACATGCACACCCACGCACACACACACACACACACACTCACACACACTAAATTAACATAGGTCTTGCTCAGTGTGGGCTCTTGGAAGCTCTCTCACACACACACCCCAGTAAGAAGGGACATCCAGGTCAGGCAAGGAGACAAAGAACTCTCCTTCCATCCAGTTCCTCCAAGCAGGGAGGCGAGGCTCTTTCTACCACAATGGCTTCTCCCCAGACCCATCCTGGCTCCTCTCTCCTTCCTCTTCCTTCACTCACTGCCCCCTGGCCCTGGCCCCAGGGAAGCCTGTGAGCTGCAGCTCCAGTGGGCCCGAGCCACCAGACTCCCAGTCTTCTCTCCTGCAGCACACCCAGCTTCCTGTGGTTTGCACGCCTGTCCTCTGGTGATTAAGGCCCCTTCTGAGCGCCACTTGTCAGCAGCCACCAGCCTGGAATTGTAGAGTGGCCCGACTCCTTTAAACAGCAAGCAAACACCTCCAATACACACACACACACACACACTCCCACAGACACACATACACACAGACACAAACACACAGACACACATATACTCAGACACACACGCGCACACACACACATAGAGCGAATGAAGCTCGTCCGTCCCTGGACATTCAGAGATCTGGAGCTGCTCCCAGGAGCACTGCCTGCCAAGGAACACTGGGAACTTTCAGAAGAAGTCAGCCATCACTCTAAAAGGCAGACCAGAGCTTTGTCTTGCTGTTTACATGGTGGACAGGCATCTATTTCCCTTAAAGGAGGAATCTGAGGCTCAGAGAGGGTAAACCTCTTCCTCAAGGTCACCCAGCCTAGATTTTCAGCCCTAGCACTTGGGATTCAGCTGTCAGATGCCAGAAACACAAATGACTGCACCCTGAATACAGTGTCAGGAGCTGGAGCTAAGGGTGAGGGAGGGGCTGCACATAACCGACTGGGTGGTGGCCAGAATGCCAACCTCAGCGGTCCTTGTAGGTGGCACAGCCTAAGAAAGCCAGGTACCCCTCTGCTGATGCCCCAGCTATGACTTAATATGGAGTGTAGCAAAGGGAGGGCTGTGGGACCTCCAGACAGGACCGAGAGCAATCTCAGGCACTCCCATGCAGGGACCTGGGTGCAGTCTGGCCACAAAATCACCGCCGTGACCTCCAGGTGCAGTCCGGAAGCTTTGCCTTTCTCTCTTGCTTGGAAACACTCCCTGGAACCCTCAGGAGCAGATGATGCCCAGGATGGCCAGAAAAGGAGGCCTGGTGGAGCTCCCTGCCACCCCTGCACCCTGCAGCTTCGTTCCCCCCTCCTGCTGCAGTGCCTTCACGCTCATTAGAGCAGAGCTGAGCTTGCTCTGGGTATAGAGCACTGTGAGCACAGCCTGGCTTTTATCTCCTGCTTGAGCACCAAGCGTGAGTCTCCACCATCTCCAGCTTCCTCTCCCCATGGCAGAGCAGATGCCAGGGCTTCCTGGACCTCTGGCAGACCCCTGAGATGGACTGGACTTTCCCATAGGTTCCCCCAGTCCCCCCACCATATCCCAGATGGTTGGGATCAATATCCTGAGAGGGACCGTCCACACCAGAGACCTGCCAAGCTGTTCGTCAGGGGGCAGGTGAATGTGCTTGACCCACCTGCCAAGGTTGGGAACAGGCCCTTCCAGTCCCCAAGGGACCGAGTGTGCTGAGCCTCATGGGGAGCTGGGACTCATTGCCTCTCCCCCAGTCATGTGTCAGCTAGTGGTGGCTGCAAGCGCTATAATGGAGCAGGGCCCTTCCCATAGCACCAAGGCTGGTGTCCCAGCGCCTGGTTGTTTACAATACGTTTACAATAATGCAATGCAATTTTTTGTTGTTGTTTCCTTAGGGAAGGATGTTCAGGAAAACAGGATGCCCAAGGGCTAGCACGATGGCCCAGTCGTAACCTAGAGATGCCTGCAGCAGGACCTTATTATGCCTTGATTTCCATCCGTGGAGACCAACAGGGTGGAAGAAGAGAAACACCTCCCAGAAGTCATCCTCTGGCCTCCACATGTGCACCACGGCACATGTGCACTCAACGTAAACACACACACAAATAATAAATAAACTTTAATAACAGTAACTACAAAAATGGGACAAAATAAAACAAAACCCAACAGACACTCAAATTCCCATCATCAGGAGCTGGCAAAACTACTCAACAGATCAAGTGTCTGCTGTGCAAACAGGGGCCAGATTCAATCCTTAGCACCAGGCACAAGGTCGGGAGTGAGGTGTGTGCCCGCAGTGCCAGCGCTGGGAGGGCAGGAGCGAGGATCCCTGGCTCTTGCTGACCGGCCACCCTGGCTGAATCATTGAGCTCCAGATTCAATGAGAGACTGGTCTCAAAACATAGTGGAGAGCCATGGAAGAGGACATGTGACATCAAGCTCCGCTCCCTGAACCGGCATACTCGTGCACACACACACACACACACACACACACACCAATAACATCTCATCACTAGCCAGGCGTGGAGGCTCCTACCTTTCATCCCAGGACTTGGCAGGCTGAGGCAGCAGGGTGGAGAGTTGGAGTTTGGCCACAGTCAGGGCTACACCGTGAGTTCTGGGCCAGCCTGAGCTACGTAGCAAGACCTTGTCTATAAATTAGCTGATAATTAGTTACTTGCCAATATCCACGTCTTTTTATGAAACCAATTAGTATTCTAAAGCCCCTGAAATATGAAGCTTGTATTAGACAAGCCGATTACTCTTCACAGAAAAGGGCTCTGCTTGGCCTTGTCTCCCACACGGAGACTGCTCAGCTGTGAACCAGGCAGGCTCAGGGATGCCTGTCTCGGGACACTGCCGCATTCGGTGTCTGACCTACAGTTCGAGCCTTTTCACTCCTCTTTCAGGATAACCTGCAGGGTTCAGGATCCACCCTCTGGTCCCAGGATTGGTGTCTCTCCTAGGCCTTTCTCTGAGCTGCACACAGTTCAAGCAGCTTTTACACATGTATGAAGATCGCTGAGAGGTTTGACAGCCTCCGTACAGAAGGCACAGGCATATGGCTTCCTGCTCTTTCAGTCTGAATAGCTGGCTCTTGTCCTCACAGTATTAAGATGGCTGCCTCACCTCTAGCCATCACATCCGCATTCTATTCAAAAATAAAAGGAATAAGGTGAAGGCTATTTTCCATGAAAAATTTGCCTTTAGATTCAGGAAAGACATTCTGCCTTTATCCCATTGCCCAGAGCTGAGGCACCCTAGCTGCAAGGGATGCTTAACTAAAAATGTCAGTATTAAGTTTTTCTGGGTTCTATAGCAGAGGACATCCAGGGACAAGAGGCTTGAAATATGTGTGAGGTCAAACTGGTTAGGTCTGGAAAGGTTTAGCAGGGATTTCACGGTGGTAGCTTTCCTGACTGTTTGGGGCTCGCTCATCTTCCTCTGCTCACAGTGTGCAGCTGAGTGGGACTCCAGGCTCTCCCGTGTCACCAGGATCCCCAGCACTGTCTTCCCTCCAGAGCTCACTCCCCAGTCAGCAGTCCCAGAAACATTCCCTGCCCGCTGTCCAAAGTCTGCAAATGGAACCATTGTTTTTCCAGGGTGGGGTGACCCTGCAAAATGCCAGACCCCCAGGGACACAAGGACTCTAAGAACAGTGGGTTCATTCTAACGGTCTGTGTTTACATGGGAGGAGACCTAGAATCTGACTCATTGTTCTTAGGGCTCGCAAAGCCCAGAAGTTCAAGGTCATCCTTAAATACAATTGGGTTCCAGGCCAGCCTGGACTACATGAGACCCTGTCTTAAAAAAAAATAAGAGACGCTGAAGAGGTGGCTCAGCAGTTAAGAGCATCGTCTGTTCTTCCAGAGCATCCGGTTCCATTCCAGCCCCACTCCCAACACAGCAGCTCACAGCAACTGTTACTTCAGTTCCAGGAAGTCTGATGTCCTTTTTGGCCTCTGCAGCATTGGGTGCCCACATTGTGCATTGACATACACACAGGCAAACACCTATACATATAAAATCAAATGCAAATACTCACTGAATGGTGGTGGCACACGCCTTTAGTCCCAGCACTCAGGAGGCAGAGACAGGCAGATCTTTGAGTTCAAAGATAGCCTGGTCTACAACATGAGTTCCAGGACAGCCAGGATTACACAGAGATAAACCCAGTCTCAAAAAACAAAACCAACCAACCAAATAAATAAATAAAGTAATAATAAAATTAAAATAAGTTAGACAGCTCCTGAGGGATGACAGCAAGACTGAACTCTGGTCTCCAACATGGCACACACAAGCACAAACAGGACATCCACACACAAATAAGATTAAAACCAGACTCCCAGGATCTGAGCTGCCATATACGAAGTGTGACTCTCACAGATCCTCACTGGAATCTGAGAACTTATGGGGCCTTGTTTGCGTGTGCATGGGCTCCTTCTCCAATACATAACAAGATCAGTTTTGGAGACATCTCTACTTTTGAGGGTAAAAATGAAGCAATTGGAGTCTGACTCTTCCCAGGTCGGTGAGTCTGGGCAAATGGTTTCTGCTTTCGGAGCCTCAGCTTTCCCCTTCTATAAAATGGTGTGAAGTGGGCATGACTCGGAGCGGTACTGTATTAGCTCCCTCAGGCGGGACAGGCTTTGATGGGTGCTGGGGGGTCCCTGTCGGCTGTATGTTGCTACTCTAGTGTGGGCGATGCTCAGATGTCATGAGTATCTGCACCTAGAGGCCACCCAGGTAGCTGTGCCTGCCTCTCTCCTGAGCAGGGCTCCTCAAGGCTGTGCCTCCCTCCGAGTCCAGTCAGTGTCACTCCTGGTGAGATGGGAGTGGCCATCTGGGTAGAGGAGACCTGTCTATCTGGCACCCAGCCGCATGTTATCCTGGGGCATCAGCAGAATCTAGATCAGGCTGATGGTGGGTGTGGGGGGAACATCACCGTTGTGGTATCTGGGAGCTGGGGTGGTGGTGTCGCCATTTGTCATTGCTCTGATCTCTAAGGAAGGCCAAGGCTCTGCTGGCATCCCTGGTGGGTACACTGCTTTGGTGCCCATGGTGAGACACATCCTGTGCAAGCTCCTGGTTTCCAGACCAGCCAGATCAGGGCTGGACTGTCTCCTAGCAGCCAGAACTTCCTGCTGTAGAGGCTAGCAGCAGAACTCAGCCACCTCCCACCACCACCACCACACAGCCACAGAATCTCAGCTGGGAGGAGAGAGGTCAGAGTAGCTCAGAGTCACTGGATAGGAACAGCCAGAGGAATAGGGAGATTTGGGCTTGCTGTTGCACTGCAACTAGACTTGGCCCTTCAAGGTATCCAACCAACCATGAGCTCAGAGCCTCTCCCAGCTCCCCTCTTGCCCTCCTTTCCTCCTCCCTTCCCTCTCCTCTTCTACCCCTCAATTCTGCAGCTCTCCTGGGATTGGAGTATAGACAAAGCCCTACCAGAACCTGTGCGTGACTGTGCACATGGGTGTGCATACCTGCAGGGTGCCTTGTGTACACATGTGCCTGTGTTCTGTGTGTGCACACCTGCATACAGGTGGGCTGGTGTGCATGTATGCATGCATGCATGGTGGTGATTTTGTGTGCAAATGTGCATTGTTCTGTGTGTGCACATGCAAATGGGCCAGTGCGTGTGCATGCATGCATGCACGGTGCCTTGTGTGCACGCGTGCATGCCTTTTCTGTGCACACGAGCCTCGTGCCTGTGTGCCCGTGTGCATTCGTGCAGGTATGTGCATGCATGCGTCCGTGTGAGTGAGTGAGTGCCGGCGGGCGCGCGTGCAGGCCGGGCAGGGATTTGAAGCGGCTTGAAAGTCGCTGATAAACAGCCCGGAGCGGCGCGCTGGCGGCTGCTATCGGAGCTGCTGGCAGGCGCGCAAGAAGCTGTCCCGGCCGCCAGCGCTATCAGCCCACGGAGGGAGGGCGGCGGGCGGGCGGGAGGGAGGGAAAGTGTTTGCTTCAGCCCTTAATCACGGAATTTGAAATCCCAGCGAGTCGGTGCCATTTATTTTCAGAGCCTGTCAAGGCTGGTTTCGGCGTTTAGAAGAAAGGAGGCTGAGCGCATTTACATCTCCGGCTCCCACCGCCCGCCGGGATCCGGTGGGGAGAGGCCAGCGGTCTGCACAGGGACTGCCCCGCCTCAGCAGAGACTCTGGGTAGCAGTTGGGGCTGCTGGGTGTAGTGTGCAGTGAGGGGGGTTATCTTGGGCCACCATATTTTACCCCAGAAAACAGACATAGCCCCTAAATTTGCCCCAGTTCCGGAAAAATCCTGCCAGCCTTTTCTCTCAAACCTAAAACGGACTGAGGACACGGCAGAACAAGGTCCTTCCTATAACAGTTGGGTACACTGAACCCCGAAACCGAGTTCTGCAAGGTCAAGGTCACACAATGGCAGACCGAGACCAGAAGGGAGGTTGAGGGTATCTGGAGCACAGAGCATCTCAGGGAGTGGGGAGCGAGCACTCACCCGAAGTTCTCCAGCTCAGTGACCTCCCGCTCACCCCCACCTCCCGCCCTTCTCTGACCTTCCCAGGGCTTGTTAGGTACCTCAGGGGAGAGCAGCTGTGGCAGGGCTGGGCCTCTAGGCCTATGCTGGGTGGCTGGGGATGGCAGCCCTGCATCTCTGCAGCCCTGCTCTTTTTTTCTTTTCCCCTGCCTCCTGTCTCCTTGGCTTCTTGGGGCTTCTGTCTCCAAGGGGACACTGTGGCTGAGACACAGACCCCCAGGAAATGATGGCGGCATTTACTCCCTGCCAGTGAAATGAGAATTTTCTGGGACCTTCAGTGTTCAGGTGTGCATAGTTACCTAGCAGAGCTAAACATCCAAAATGCCCCCTTTGTCTTCGGTGACATCATGGTCCTGTGCCCCTGGACCTGTTCTTCCTTCCCAAGACTGGACATTTCTCTTAGGGGCTTCTCAGTCCTATCTTAGGTGAGTCACACCCAAGCACCTGGAAGGGTCCCATGCTAGGGGAGATGGGAAAACAGCAGAGACAGGGAAAAGCAAGTGTGGTTGGAATTTTCCGTCCATTCGAACACTTAAAAAGTCTTATTTATATGAAAATGAGCTAACATTATATATTGTTTGGCGATTTATTACACCTCATTTTTCTTTGTAGTTACATAATATTCCATTGGTCACCCATATCTGCATGTGGTATCTGATCCCCAATAGAAGGGCATATAGATTGTGCCCAAACTTGTCCTCTAACCCCCAAGACTCTGAAAACAAGCTACTCTCACATAGGAGGGGTCATTGGGGCCATGGAGGAGCCCTGCAGGCACAAGGCAAACAACTCCTGGAAGCTTCATCCACTTTCATAGGCAAGAGGCAGGCTAGGATTTTTCTAGAGCCAGAACTGAGAGAGAGAAATGACTCAGGAAACCCAGCATGGCAGGGACCTGGAAGTTCA